CACTGGGACTTTCTCCGTGTTCCTCCTGCTGATTCTGTTTATCAAAGAATCAACGTTTGTTTTCATGGAGCAGATTTTTGCTTCAGTCTGGTTATAAAACGTAGTCACAGTGAGCTCCAGCACAGAGCAGCTGTGAGGATCATCTTTGTTTGTAGCTGGTAAAGATGTAAATGTCAGCAGAGAGCTGCGACTTAAATATCTGTTCTTGTGTACTTTTATCACCATCCTTAATAACGTAACTGAAGTTGCCTTTGTTCTCCACAGTGTGCCACCTCTATCCGTCTCTACCTTCATGCTTCTCTCACAACTTCTATTCCTGCTATTTCTAAGCCGCTATCGCAGCAACTCCTCAACCCACCGAATCCACAGCGCTGCTTTGAGCCAGCTTCCCAAATCTGCTCTGAGTGTACCTAAGCACACTCGCCCCAAACACTGAAGCCCGGGAATCAGGTAAACCAGCATAAAGAAACAGAGCTGCTGTAATAAAATAAGATCACATTAACTGTTTGTTAGGTTGGTGATGAAGAGCAGCTCCAAGACTTAAGTAAATATGCATGAAGTCGCCCACTTAGGTATAAAAAACAAAGATTCAGGATGAAAACAAAGCAAACAGATTCCACTGGGACTCCAACGTATTGATCACTGTTCAGGATGTACAGAGGCAGACCACACGCTGGGAAACCGACTTCCCACAGACGGCCCACAAACCCACAGTCCTGCAGTCAACAGTGTCATGTGAACATTAACTGTGATCGCTTTAACCAAGCATACATTTCTACATACATTTCAACCAGCCGTAGTAAAACAGCTAAATGAGAGGAAACTAGAGGAGAAACAAAAGGAGAGCGTTACAGAAGATGGCAGGTGAATGTTCAAAGCCTCGGGAGGAAGAGGACGGACACTGAGACAGGCTGTGAAGGACAGATGAAGGGTAAAGTGAATAAATAAAAGCAGAAACGGGGGAAGGTCCACGAGACAGAAGACGACAGCAGGCGAGGCAGATTGAGAAAGGGCAAAATCGAGGAGTGAGACCGAGAGAGAGCCAGAGAGTCTGTGACGGGTCACTCGGGAGCCGAGGGAGGTGTGTGCAGCATGTCAATACAAATGCTAAGTCACTCAAGGGCTTCCATGCAGCTGCAAGCCCAGCCGAGCTCTACTGTCGGGTGTAGGACACAGCAGTGGGGACTAACGGCTAACTCATCTAAACCTGATCTCACCTGAACCAGGTTTAAAGCTTCTCAGCTCAGTTTGATCAAAGATGACAAGCAGATTAAATCAAAGCTACAGCGCGTCCCAATCTGCAACAAACCGAAAACCAGAGACATGGACCCCTCAGGTGTCTGAGAACACAGGTATCTGCTTCAGAGAAAGCCCAGAGGTGAAGGCACCGCAGTCACCTGAGAGAAGATCCAGCTCTGCAAACAAGCAGCTCCGGGCTTCAGCGGGGCCCGGGGATACGATTTTAGGGATAAATCAAACCGTAATTGATTAATCCGCCCATCACTTTATGAGTAAGCGCTGAAGGAGACTGCACACCTGCGCCAAGGCTGAAATCCACAGAAATATCTGGTGGTGTTTTCTTGGATTTCACAAGATCATTTTTCATACTTAATTTCAAATGTATTTGTGAAGGTAGCACGACGTGTGCTAGAAGAACCTGGGTTCAGGTCCTGGATGTAATCTGTCATCCATCCATAACAAGCACACACAGAGCTCTGTTCCTCCTGAATGTGAAGTCTGTAGCAATTACTGAGCCAGCTGCTGCATTTTCTCTTCCTAGAGGTAAAGTTTTAAAAAATCTGATTGGATAAATCTATTTTTATGATTGCGGGACGGTAACGCTTTAATATTTAAATCAAATCTAATACAAAGAAATAATTATGGAATGAAGAACATATTAAAAAGGAAAATGCTGGGATATTGATCGGCTGGAAGAACGGATTCATAGCAGAGATGAAGTATTTGGTTCAGCCGTTAGCTTTGTCAAATAGACACATATTCACACAGCGTCACGTCCACCTCTGACACTCTGGAGCTTTTACGCTTTCTTTCAGCACAGAAACCACTCGGCCCACTCGCACATCACCCCGGCGGGATGTCTGCGTGGCTGCTGCAGCGTCCGTGTTTGGTGCCTCTGCTGGAGGAGGACGCTTGGTGTTAACGAGGGTGTAACATCGTACCTGTGCTGCAGTTACTCGTCCTCCACCATCCCTGTGACCCAGGAGACTGTTGCAGGGTGAGTCTGCAACCAGACAAGTGAGTGACACGAAATGACAGGATAGAAAGAGGAAACAGAACCGGAGGGGGAGGTCAAAGGTCGGAGCTGCGGAGGCCCCTGCTCGGTTTGTACAGGAGGAGAGAGATAACACAGTGGGAGCCGCCTGCTTCTGTGGCAGCAGTAAAGTATTTACAGTAAATACATTAAGTCTGTGTTCTGTGTGTGATCAGAGGTCATTGCTGTGTGTGTGGGCGGGGCGAGTGAACAGGAAGTAAAGGATACATTCGTACTCCACCAGATCTCGAACCAATGGCCAGGATCTTCTGCACGGGGTCAAAGGCCAAAGCGGTGGGCTGGTAAGGGAAACCATGACGCACCGTCTGCAAAGAAACACACAGATCATCTTGATTTATAACAGTGATGTCAAACAGGAAGCAGGAAATGCTTCGTTTCAGCGTGACTCCAGCTGCAGAGGTGTGGTTTCAGCTTCAACACGTTTAGTCTCACTTTGAATGAGGTCACACTCTACAACACTGAACTCTTAAACATGACTAATGACACCAAAAGGACTCAATCGTTTTCATTTTTACCACATTTTAACGTGAGCACATATTTTATGTGAACACATTTTGTGAATGATGACAATCATTTGTGTGCCTGCTGCTGTGCTGTTCATTAACTGAACCCAGTAATAACACACAAACACTTGTGACTGCAGTGCTTCTGTTTTCTGTGACTGAGGTTAAGCTTTAAAATGACCGACGGTGAGGGCAGCAGCGAAGAATACGCAGGGCTGCGTGTAGACGCGGCTCGAACTGAGCATCAGAGTGAGGACCAAATGGGATTTAAGTGACTTTGAACATGGTGCTGCCAGCAGACTATTACAGAGTGTTGATCTGCTGGGATTTTCCCACACAGCCATCTCTGAGGTTTACAGAGACGCTTCAGAAAAACAGAAAATATACAGTTTTAGACAACAGGTGAGTGTAAAAGTGCAAAAGTACTGCTGTCTGTCTATCTGTCTGTCTATCTATCTATGTTTAACACTCACATGCTGATGAAACACAGAGGCTTTACAGTAAGTAATGAGCGAGGATGCAGGACCTCTTATTCATGCTGTAAATGGATTATGAACTGAAGGAAATTGAACTTGACTCACAGTCAAATACAAAAGCCTGACTTGGCAAAACATGGCTGTCTCTCCCACTCTGAGATGCAGTGCATGCTCTGCAGCTGTCTGCTGTAAGTCATGTTAAATTTCCCAGCAGTGGCTCACTTACAGTAATCTGCTGTGGGGGGATGCAAAGCTGTGGACATCACCAGAGCTGACTGAAAACATGTTTATGGGAAAACTGCAGTATTAGAAAGTAATATTACAGGATGATACAGAATATAAAATAGTTTCTTATTTTTAGCTTTGAATGAGAAAGTTGTTGGGCTGATTTCCTCCAGTTCAGACAAACCGGTGCAACACACACAGACCAAGCTGCATCCTGTAAAGTGTTTACCTCTAAACTCCTCAAAGTGAGTCACAGTGAAAGGCTCTCAGCACACACTGTGGAATTAACACACGCAAAAACACAGGATGCATTGTTTGTCAGAGAATGTGTGGCTGTTACAAAATACATTTCATTTGCAAAACTCTGAAGGAAACTTGCTGAATGATACACTTCCAGTTCTAAATCCACAGTGTGGGTTTTGGCAGCCATTGTTGCCAGACTCAGCAGAGCGTGATGAGAACCAACGCTCACCAACCAGAGAGGGAGTGTGTGTTTGTGTGTGTTTGTGTGTGTTTGTGAGACGTATCCTAAGGTCGCTATCCGTCACACAAGCAGGGTCGGGTTCCACGCCGCGTCCAGCCTGCGAGTAAGAAACAATAAGCTTTTGATCTAAACAGACGTTTTGTGAATCAGCAGTTTCATTTCATTTGCTCTGAATGACGTTTAAAAAATAAAGGACAGTTCCACAGTTTAGTGTTCAGATCACAGCACGCAGCAGCTGACGACCTTTGTATTTCTAATGATTCTGCCACCTGTTTTATGCAGTGCAGAAACACTCACTGGGGATGATGATTAATATAATGAGTTTTCATTACTTCATGCTTCACGGTCTATCCCTAACCCGTCTTTAAGTCTGACGTCATTAGCCGTGCCTGGGCCCAAACTCCGCTTCAGGTCCCAAAGTCAAACGAACACTGCAGCATCACTGAGAGTTACAAACTGTCTAAATTCTTTCACCTTTAATAAAATGATCAGCGTTGCTGCTTTACCAGGTGTAACAATTAAGTTTAACATCCAGGCATCCATGCAAACAGAATTTATTAAATTTAACAGAGTTAGAAGTTAGCAGGAAGTTAGCTCGCTAGTTAGCTAAACATGATATAGCATGTTCTGACTGAGAGATTTCTGACAAAATTCAAACGTACAGCTCTGCTATCACTTCCAACATAAATGAAGACAGAAAACTAAACAGCAGTGATGTTTGTAGGGTTACTGAAGTTGGGCTAGCTACTATATAATGATGTGCTACGTGACTGCTAGCGACACAGCTATGTTAGCATAGCATAAACACAGTGAAGCTGGAGGATGAACGCTAACTTTTTTCCACAAGATAAGTTAACGTGAGGGTTCCTGATGGTTAGGCACAAATGCAATCGCATGGCAGGATGCTGCAAACTTCAGTCAGGAGAACAACTGAGATAATCCATCCACAATACGAGGTTAGTCATTAATATACTGCTGCAGGGGCTGGAGTTACATCGCAAGGGTTAAAATCTGAGCTTTAATATGAACAGTGGTGGTAAAAACCGAGAGAGGCCGACAGGGATCACTGACTGTTTTTTTGTTGTTGTTGTTGTTGTTCAGATTAAATAGAACAAGATACAAAACATGTTAAAAACACAACAGTCTTAATAAACACAGTAGTTTGGGCCCAGAAGCAGGGCTCATATGTCATCACTTAAAACCCGATAACTGTTGACATGAAAGCTCTCACAGGTACCTGAGCCTGTGCTCATTTCTATACAAACGTTCCCACTAAATACATTTTTCCATTATTTAAGTCCCTCTTTAATAACAGCTACCACATGTACTGCTGAGTGTGTGCGTAACTCTGAAATAACAGGGCTGCTGATGCTTCTGAAGGCACTGAGCCGTGACACTCGGATATGCACCATAAACTCCAGCAGCAGCACTCTCACACGCATGTTCAATGACTTAAGCTACTTTGAAAAACAACGGCTTGGAGATTGTAATTCTCTGCACAGGCTGCTAACATCAGGAGCTCCAGCTCAGCTGTCCCATGCCCTTAATTAGTCAGAGATGTTTGTTAAAGCTTTTTATTGCATGAATAGTTTATCCTCTTGACGTCGAGGTTAAATGATTTTCTTTTACCTCCCTGTAAGGTCAAGTTTAACACCAAGCCTTAGCCAGCCAGTCGTTCTACGAGTGACGCCTTCAGAACAATACGACACTGACATATGTTCACCCTCCTGTAGAGCTGTAGACGATCCTGTCAGTGCTGTTTCAATGCTTAAAATCTCAGCTATGGTCATGGCGCCTCTCCAGTGGCAGTCCTGTTACGGTACAATTCTGCTGGGAAGCCTCAGATCATTCGTGTCCCGTTTGCTTTGACACAGCACTGTTGCACACTAAGAACTTCCCCCATGAAAGCTTCCTCCAGCGGGACAATGTGCCATGCCACTCCACAGAAAAATCCTCAGTAACAGCTCGAGAAGCACGACAAAAAGCCCGAGGCAACGACACAGCCTCCAAAGTCCCCAGATCCCAGTCCAATCAAGCATCAGCTCGAATCTCAGGAACTACCCCGATCCACTGAGGCCCCGCCCACTACCCCGAGTATCTGACTCCAGGAAAACCCTTAGTTCAAAACTCTGAAGGCCACAGCTGCATTAGGTAATCCTACAGTGACGTGCAGCACACACCTATTTACGTCTGCAGTCTGTGAGTCAAACACACACCAGTTAAATTAAGAAGAGAGAGTAAACAAACCCTAATTATTACAAGCATGCTCATGCTGTGGATGTAGGCGAACACATGCATGTGTGCACGCAGCGAGCAGCGAGTATCTGAGGACCACCTGCAGTACATCTGTGTTATGGCTGCCAGAGGCGACATTACATCAACTCCTGTCTCCATCCACCCTCCTCCCCGCTCCGCTCTCTCTGATGTCCACACAAACACAACCTTTATGCACGCTAGCGTGATGTTCAATCGCATCACCCTCTGCACGCATACACCCCCCACCCCCGAGACTAATACCACCTCATGCCACCCACGAGCCTCTTTCTCCACACAGCGTTCAGCTGCAGAGCTGGTCTAGACCCCTGTTTCTATAAATAGCAAGCAGCACCCAACACTGCCAGCCAATTGTGCATTGAACAGCTATGTCTCCAAATACGGATCAACACAGAGAAGCAGCACGGGATGTTTCCGATCTACATGTGACTACAACATAAAGGCGCTACGCTGCTAATTTTGTGGAGCTCAGTGTGCACGAGATAAATAAGAGTAACACGTCAGCTCTCCTCTGCTTCTCAGTCATTAGCAACCACTAAGGTACAAAAGCTAGCTAGCTTCTCAGTTTAAGCCAGCACCGACCTTGTTATTGATAACCATCATCAGCTCAATATTGCATTACATCAGCTCAAGCTAATTATCATAAATGTCACAAGCAGCTGAGTGAAAAGTAAACAAGTGGTGTGATTAACATGGACACGCTGTGTGTGGCCTGCGCAGCACTGACCGCAGTGCTCGCGGGGATCGTGTGTGCTGAGACACCAACAGCAGCAAAATGTTTTCAGTCCCTGAACAAAGTTATTATTTTTGGAGACTCGGGGTATAAGGTACATAAATTCAGATTTCACAGCCGAATGTACGACTATTTTGTTCACGCGTCGTCTGACAAATGACCTCCGGAAAATGGAGTTAGGACATAAAAATAGCAGAATCAACAAACCCGAGCAGTTCCTAACAACCAGCACAGAAAGTGTGCATGTGCTCATATCTGCCACTCTGCTTTAGACACATCAGCGTCACAGGGCGCCATGTGGAGCGCTGCCCCACCGTTTCTCTAACTTTAAAAACTCACTGCTTCATCAGTTCATTAAGCAGCACGGCAGCATCACCGAGGACCCGACTAATGAGTCATGCATTAACCAGACGCTACACCCTGATTGTGATGGTGCTTGGATACATTTATTGACACAAGGAAATCGCATGGGGAGCTTTGCACACGGCTCACGAGTAAATGGAGGAAGTGATGGAGAGGCCACTTGTGATGTGCAGTTTGAGGCGAGAGCTCTGACAAGTGGTGAATAATACATAGAGAGAGTAGTATGTGAGCAGGCAGCAGAGGAAGG